AAGGCAAGGTGCTGCGCACGTGCGGTCGTGTACGAGGACGGGCGCTGCTGAGGGCAGCGCCATAGCCCAGCCGCCATAGCTGGCTGGGGCTTGGTTGTACAGCAAGGCGCAGGGGTGGTCTTCGGGTGTACAGAGGGAAGAGGTGGGTGGAAGTCGATGAAGATGAAAGGAGGAGGAGGAGGATGATGATGTGAGGGCACATACCTGGTATTGGCGATGGTCTGCATTGGACGACATCTTCAAGTACTTCGTTGGCTGCTGACGTCAACAGTTGCATTGTCAATTAGTAAGCAGATAGTAGCTGTGTAGGGAGTAGGCTGGGCGCCGAGCGCCAAGTAGGGAGAAGGGCCTGGACACGTATGTTGGTGATGGCGAGAGCAAGCTCTCATTGACATTCAGTTTTCAGTGCTACGATTCTCCATTGGCGTTATATTGGTGCAGTGCTGCTTTCTGGACACTGTGATACTTTCTGGCTTTCAATGTGATTGTGCAATCTGGATTTTGTCATCTCGCTATTGTTCATTTTCCTTGCAGATGGATGTCCAGCGAAACGGCGCGTCACTACTTTCCGCTCTACGTGGCAGCATGCACGCCGTGTCTCTGAAAAAAATGGCTGGGAAACATAATCATTATGGCGGCTTCAGTATTAGAGAGAGGCCTTCAGGCAGGAGGAGGAGACTTTTTTTGTACTGAAGAAAGTTGCAGGTGATAATTTTGAGGAGAACGTTTAACTTTATCTCACCATCCATTACCATCATCATTATCTAATATCCACCCACCATGACACATCCATTATTTTAATTTATTAACCAAAAAATGAAATGAAGCAAGACTTTCTGAGGAGATTGTGTGGAGAGAGACTGGGTGGGCCAGGCAACATGTTCCACGAATCACAAACTGCGAAAAGTTGAAAACATATATTCCGATCTTAGGGTTTGACCGGTGATGTCTTGCCCTTCGATAGGGCCACCTACCTTTTTGTGAGGGATGCCAGGCCCGTTTCCTGGCTAATTGAAATATAAGGGACGCCGGGCCCGGTTCCCGGCTGCCTTCTTTAAAAAAAAAAAAAAAAAAAAAAAAAACATATATCAGACTATAAGAATGCAATGCATCAGCTTCTACACAGGCATTATTAACTTGAAGAAGTTAAACGTGAGTACTACCAGTAAGGTCATTAAAATTATGATTAAATTAAATTGGAAGAACAGACAAAAGGAAGTTACTGTAATGAATCACCTTAAGGGTTTAACTTATCATTTTTGGAAATATCATTGATTGATTCTCACAGTTTCTCAGATATGAAATAGTAAGAATTTAAGAAAATACAATTTTTTTTCACAAATTTGAAATTTCATATTAAAAATTAAGATTGAAAATTGAATTTGTTCATTAAAAAAAAAAAAAATGAGACTTGTGCAGTCTTCGCATTGTGCTGCTGCTTGATAATACCCGTTTAAGTACGCCATCGACTTCTCTCTGATATGGGACAAGGACTCGGAGTCCCAGTTTGCATCACTTTTCTGAGTCTTGACAGAATAACAAAACCAGAGATGTTTAAGAAAGTTGGGGAAACCTTGCAAGTTTTACTGTTATTTTTTAATCAAAACTTCAAAAGGGAACAGAACGCAAAGAGAAACTTCCAGAAACCTCCACACTAGCCTCAGAGTCTTTCTTTGATTCGCCACTCAAATTTAATAAAGTGCAAATTGAGCAGCTACTTGTGTAAATGAAAACAAACAAACAGAAAGTCGATGGGTCAGACATGCTAATCTTCTCTGTATCGTCGTTCCAATTTTAACGGAAAAAAAAAAGAGTAAAAACAAAAACTACACATACCGTCCATAGACTCTGCACACGATGCGAAGTGCAAATGTCATGGCATTAATCGGACAAAACCCCTGCGCATCCGCCGCATCGCACTCTTGCACACCTTCACTTCACTCAAAATTTGCCGCCACCCAGTGAGTTGATCATGCCCGGCCGCCGCATGCATGTTGCTTCTTCCACCATCAATACTCAACCTTCAACAAGCACTTACGTAGAATTAACCAATTCAATTTGAAGCTTTCACACACAGCACACAGTGTCAGGTTCTGAAGCACACAATGCCATTCAAGGTACTACGATAGTAACTGTTGATCTCTCAGTCTTGTCATCGCCCGGGCCCACGGATGCGCTCTGTTTGCCTCGACAAAGTACATAACTGTACATTACACATGCCCGGGGCATGCGTTTGCATCTATGGACCGCCCACAATCGAGCCAGTACCCCAAAAAAGCAATCTATCAATCGAACGATTCAAGTTTCCACCTTTTCACCTCGAACATGAAAAGATAAAAGTCTCACTGCAATGAATGACCGAGATGTCGAACTTCGACCGTACTCGTCAAACTTGACGGATTTCCACTCCCTGGGCACACATCCATTGTGACCGAGGAATACTATGATACAGAAACGATCGTTGCCGTTCAATCAGTCAATGATCCGCCAAGGATCCATAGTCCAACCGAGGAGGAGCAGGGCGGTAAACCGTAGGGAGGGAGGGAGGGAGGGAGGGAGGGAGGGAGGGAGGGAGGGAGAGAGAAGGAGACAACAAACAAGGGGCTGTGACAAAGCGACTCGTCGGAGTATCAATGAAAGAACCCACAGACTCACAGAGTAGAGGAAGTTGCAGCTTCGTTTTCTCGTTTTTGTAAAAACCTGTAGAATAGCTAGATGTTGGGTCTTTGGGCCAGGGGGAGGTGAACATACAGACGGATGCTTAATCCTCGTTCTGCTGGTCTTGGGATTTCTCCTCCTGTCCCGCTCTCTCTCTCTTGAGATCTCCGATCTCAAACAAACATAACCTCAGTCAACAACAGGGATGCTTAGTCATGGTTCCACTGGTGCTGGGATTTCTCCGCCTGTCCCGCTGAGCCTCTCTCTTGAGATGATCAGCCAACAAAAGGCCATGATCTTGCTAGCATATCGTCGCGGCCCAACCTTGTGACACTGTCTATTCACTATCTGACACACTAGCATCTTCACACGAACACAGCGCCACTGTGACATCATTATACCTGTGCATCTGGACTGAAAGCTGCCCTGATTACAGAAGCTATAATGACCGCCGGGCGTTCTATTCGCCGGGTGAAGACGGTAGCCACCAAAGAAAGCTGAGTCTATTCCACTGCTACAGTGACTACAGCTCACACTCACTATAATCTCAGACAAGGCATCAGGTTCTGAGCTTGGGCAGGGACTTTACAAAAGTCGCGGCGGATTCGACCACCAGTACCTCCCAACTCACTTTTAAATTTCTCCCATGCAGTGTGGGCCTTTTGCCCGAACGCTGAAAATTTCCTAATCGTACTATCCTTTCGATTGGCCTGGTGCCTCCAGCCGTTGTCCTTCCGACTCAGAGAGAATCACAACCTCTCCACTGCGCCATGTCAACCGCCAGCGGACACGCACATGAAGGCTGGCGAGGGCACTGGTGGTGGGTCAAGAGGGGGGTAGCTTCAGCCACCCTAGACGTACAAAACACACTGACACTCCGTGCAGTGTGCACACAAACGGACAACACTCCGACCGGGAACTCCACGTCATTGCACTCCACTGCCGAGCGTTGCTTACAGATTTTCTCAGCGCACTTACTGTCAAATTTCCAAATTTATTTTTCTTCTTTTCCTTTTTAGGCATACCCTCCTCCTCCCCCACTCCCCCCCTCTCCTCTCTCTCTCTCTCTCTCTCTCTCTCTCTCTCTCTCTCTCTCTCTCTCTCTCTCTCTCNCTCTCTCTCTCTCTCTCTCTCTCTCTCTCTCTCTCTCTCTCTCTCTCTCTCTCTCTCTCTCTCTCTCTCTCTCTCTCTCTTGCCCCCCTCTGAATTCAATGAATTGTCATCATCAGGAGCATTATTATTAGCGACTCGTGCACAAAGATGAAAGTCATCGCACGCTTAGTCGTACACAGCATCCGAATAGCCCGAATGCCTTCCCTCACATGACCTGCATGATGACATCACCACTGGGCCACCTTCAATAGCATAAGCGCTGCATGCAGTGCTGAGGCCACATCAACTCCCATCGCATGAATTTTTACGCGCTGCCATTGCAAGGGTTGGAGCTCCATGCCAAACCACATCAACCTCTTAAATGCAGCAACCAAAAGACGATCAGCGTCGAGACAAACCACAGACCGAGTGACTGAAACCAGAAGTGATATCCAAAGCTGCACCCCCTGGACCCCCGAAAAAAAAAAAAAAAAACACCGATGCCAAATACCATTGGCCTGTCTAGAATGGTTAGCTGTAAAAGATAGTACCAGGACTAAGTGGTGCACTCAGCACTACGCACACAGCCATCAGGGTGGGTCTGCTGCCTCTGGAGCCAAAAATTTGTAAAGTTATAGCTTGGAATTGCTGCTGATTCAACAGCACGCCAGGCCCTGAGTTTGGATTGTAAGTCCGATTCCCGATTCGTCAGGATGGACCCAATTGAAGGCCGGAGCTCGGAGGGGAACTCTCAATCCAGTCTATCTCTGCACAGCCTGGTTCACGCATCCACACGGCTGGGAGCAAAGAACCATCAGATGACAGGTCAGTGAGGTTGATGCGACGCTTCTCATAGCTTTCCAGCTCGTCAGCGAAACTCACATGCCCTGCCGTCCTGTCCAGGGTCACCACCACAGAAGTTCCGGGCCTCTCGAACGTGGACATGGCGTAGACGTAAGTTACTTGAACGCCCGAGGCTACGTGCGTTTTGTGCGTGAAGCCGTCGCTCAACGCCCACCCTGCGAGGATCTGTGCTGGAGTACTACTAGATGAAAACTCCTTGCTCATCGTAGAAACTACTCCAGTCGCGAAACCCGTCCACTGTTTGACCACGCGGATTCTCCATGTGTGCCTGCCGCGAGCGAGTGGTAGTGGCATTATGGCTATACCAGGAGTCTGCGAACACTGCACTCGATGTGGCTGTTTGTCTCGACTGACGAAACTCGATTTCGGATCACCCATCCAGAGCGCCGGGGTAGAGACATTCCGGAAAGTACTGCAGATCCCATCTTCTTCGTTGGTCAATGCTACGAGCGAGACTTTGGGAGACATGGAACGCCAGGGCGTTTTGAAGAACAAGCTGGGTGGAATTCCTCGGGCGAAGCAGGCCGAGTGAACCCTGTACACGGCAGTGAGTATCTCTGGGCGTAAGATGTGCAACGGTTTGATCCTCTTCTCCACAAATGAGGGTTTGATGAAAGGAAGGTTGATGTGGCCTTCGAAGATCTCCTCCAAGTCGTCCCTCGGCAAGACAGATGCTGCTCCTCCGTCTCGATCAGCATAACAGTGACTGATATTCTTCTCTCTAAGACTCTCAGAATATTAGGCTCCTGGTCCCACTCGTCCATCACACATATGACCTTGCCGGCGTCCCCTCTGATCGCAGGCGGCTCTTCCGTAATCATCGCCATGACGGATGATGTGTGTGTATACTCCACTTTGGTGACATGGGCCTTTTCCTGTTTGACTATGTTTCGGTCATTGGATGCCGCTGCAAGCAGTGCCTCTGCGATCAGCGTTTCAGTGACATGAGGCGGGAACTGCGCGTTTTTCAGGAAGTGCACAATGCTCTCCTTCTTCCAGCCCCGGAAGAACTTCGAATCAAACACCACCGCATCGTAAATTACCAAATTCTCCGCCGCCTTCAACAACTTCTCTGCGTGCCTCCCCACTGCAACATTGAGTAGAGCGCCTATCTCCGCCCCACTTTGCACGCCGGTCGATATCGAGAATACGATACTTTCGCACAAGCTGCTCACCTGATACTGTTCCGCTACTTGGTACATGTCGACGACATCTTCCCAGGACATTTCATGGGTCCGGCTGAACGGACACCCATGCAGGTAGTTGATCACAACCTGCGGACTCCTCGCCTTCACCGTCGGAAGAGGGATTCTGTCCATGGAACCCTCCCTCATGCTACCGTAAAGCAGTTTGGAGAAGAACTCGTTCCTGCTCGCAAGCAACGCTCTATTTGCACGCACCTCTTTAGACTCCTCGCAGACGAATGTTAGATCGAGCAATTCAGGACGAGTGAGCATCGCCTGGACGGCCAACAACAGCTCTTGCCCCTGCTTTCCCTCCGGCCTCGTTTTTTCCTCTATACGTAGAGAATACCAATTGTCACCTGTCTTCGCCTTCTTCGCCCTCAAGCTGCCCGCCTTCTTCCACTCCATGCTTAAGTTCCCTGAAGTGTGTTCTTCTCTTACTCTTCAACGCCTTCTTGCTATCGATTCTGTTATTACTCTTCTATAAATATATACATATGCAACACACCAATGCGAAAAGCAGAGCTGTGTGTGTTCTTCTCTTACTCTTCGGCGCCTTCTTGCTATCGAGTCTGTTATTACTCTTCTATATATATATATATATCGTCATATATATATCGTCATATATATATCGTCAAATAGAACTGCCCGGTAAACCGTAGGCAGAGAGGGAGAAGAGGACAACAAACGATATATCGTCATATATATATCGTC